GCGGCTGCGGGGCCCGGACGCGGGCGGGGGAGGCGCCCCCGGGGGCGCCCGGCGCGGACGCAGGCGCGCCGGCTGCCGACGGCCCCCGGGGGGCCGTGCGGGGACCGGACCTGGAACCGGTGTCGGACTGGTCCGCGGTGTTCCAGTAACGCGCCCAGACCGGCGCTGGGGGACCGCGCCTGCCCGCCCCCACCCTCCCTCGCCCGGAGGAGAAGTGAACCCAAAACCCCCAGCTGCTCGGGCGCGGGGACCTGCCACGCAGCTTTCGACTGCGGGTTTCACGGCAGGAAGTTTGGGGCGTCTAGGAAACAGCGCGAGCGCACCCCGCGCTGTCGAAGCCCATCTCGCTGTGGATTTCTGTCCGCGTTTATTTTCTGCGAAATGCATCAGTAGCGTTACTGCCCAAGGTGTCGTGACCAGAAAAACAAAACAAAAAAACCCAGATCTTTTTTCAGCAGCTGTTTAGCGTAGGTTTGCCAGGTAGTGTAACGGAGTAGAAAGGCGCAGGACGATACGGGCTTCGAGTTCTGATGTTCGATTTTCAGGGATCCCCTCGCGGTTTCTTTTGGCACGGGTTAATGCTTCTTTGTGTGCATGCTTGGATTAATCACATGTCTTTTACTGAAAAGTTAAGTTTCATTTCAGGAAGTGACAGTTTGCTGTTGCCGTGTCATACCATCTCATAATGGCCTAAAACACCGACTGCTCAGTTCGGTAATCGTGGATAGACTTACTGTGTGCCGGGCACTGTCTTCTGAAAATACAGAATCGAATAGATGAGCCCCCGTCATCAAGGAACCCCCAGTCTGTGTAAGACGGATGGATTAATTATACTGTAGTAGTAAGTGCCACCACGTCAATGTGTGCCAGCTACAGAATATGGGATGGTTAGTGAGGGAAGGCTTTCTGAAGGAGTTGCTCCCTGAGCTGGGTTTTGACAGAAAAATGAGGCATTGCCCTAATTATTTCCTGTCTGCAAATACTCAGGTATTCTCTGGTGAGTCTTATCCATTATTTAATCCAAGTCTAACAGAAGTTCTAGTTGTACTTACTTCACTTGCCCTGCTCTGGTGGATCATAAAATACTTCAAATTCTGTCTTACAGACGCAGCTGCATTAACACACTACCTATTACATTTGATCCCAGCAGTTTTTCAATTACATGTTTCATCTCCCCTTTACTTATGAGGAAACCTATATTTAGAGAAGCTAAGTGAGCTGGCAAAAGTCACCTAGGTAATAACAGACCAAGCCGGAAAACATGTCTCTTTCCACTGCACCACACTGCCTCCCATGGTAGTTGATTTGGGAGGATGAGTCTACGCCAGCTTCTGGCTTCTCTGCCTTCCCATCCTGGTGCCTCGCCTGCCTTCTCGGGCCCACCTCGGGCCCCTGGCCCTCTGAGTGAGAGGGTTTACGAACCAAGTTGTTCTGGGTTAACAGTATCACTTAGTGTGATAGGTTCAGGAAGCTGTCAAGCCTAATGTTTTCCTATGATCTCCCCTCTCTTGTTTCTCATCTCAGGGGAATCTATTTCTGTTTCTCTGTTTTTCACTACTCTAGGACTCAATTATAACTCAGATTCTAAAATCTTTCTAATTCTTGTTTTATCACCTCAGGAATGCCTGAGGCCCATAGATACCCTTCTTAGATTTAGACCAAAAAGGGTTCTAGTTTTTCTAATTCTTCTAATTAAGATGTTTTTCCCCTCAAATGACACACTTCATAATGAATTATTACATTTTATGTTACTATTTCTTATAGGTCTTAACTCCTATAGTGATACATTCTAAAGTTGCAAAGGTGTAGTATTTCTAGGACGTGAACTCTATGCATTAGTGAGTTAGCCTGAGAATCATAATAAGGAAATAATTTTTAAGTTTCATCCATCTAGTTTATAGTGAAGCGTCTAGAACAGTGCCCCCTTCGTAAGTTGGAAACTTCCTGAAGTTCATTATCAGTCTTAATTCTCACATTACTGTTTGCATTTTTAGCCTTTGTGGATCTTTTTAAACAATTTTTCTTACAGATATTTATAATCTCAGAACAAATTGTGATTGGCTTCCATAGTGACAATGATCTGTCGTCTTTGTTCTGTCAGAGTTGACTGCATTTGCCAAGTCTTCCACGCTTCCAGTAAAGGGGAAAGCACAAAAGTGCTATCTGTGTGGCTGCCTGGTACATAGGTCCGAGATACCTGCTGAAGCAGGTTTAAATCCCAGTTCAGAATGCTCTCTGAACGATTCAGTTCCCGTCCAACATTTCCCTAGGCCGCTGTTGTTCATCTGTCCCAGAGGACTGTTAATACACCCTTTTTCATTATTGATGACATGTGGGTACCCATTAGGGAAGTAGAGAATTCATTCTGTGGTGTCTCCAGCACACTGATAGCCGCTGTGTTTCCATGTCAGCTGTGCAGCTGGCATGATTTCTTAACTTCCCACTGCTTAGAAGAAAAGGAGATACGTTGATGCAGGAAGGTTGAACTTGAGTTCTGTATTACTTGAAATGTGATTGGAAACTGAATTCCCTCAGAGTTCTTGATGAGCAGCGTGGGGTACTCGTAGATCCCTTATGATCTGGCTGTTAGCAGTGACGCACGAATTTGCTGTCTACGTTTTACAGCCTTCACTTGAACCTGCACATGGTTCTGTCACTAGGAGGTATGCTTTTTAACGAATGATCAGTTTTTATTTTTAAACAAGCTGTTTCCAAAATTACCAATTTGAGATGGACTCAAGGACCTTTAAAAATAATAGTACATTCATGACTGAGGACTTTTTCCATTGCATGTATACAGTTGGTGAACCTTCAATCAGATTGTTTGGGGGAATTTGTCTTTCATGTACAGGTAAAGATCTTCTGTACTTTTCAAAGACCTTGTACTTTTGGCAGAATCAGTAAATCACTATACACAGTGTAATACAATGTAAACATCTGCGATTAAAAAATAATTAGGCTAATTAGCATTTACTTTTTTGTGTGAGAATTCCAACCTTTATTAAAATATAATTTTAAGTATGATTGAAAGAATAACATATTTGTCTGATTTACTCTGCTAGTTATTGAGGCAATGATAATTAAAATGTATTCATTCACATAGTTTGGAGTTTTAGTTCTTGATATATTTAAGTTATTTTTCTTTATAATTTGTGGATAAAATATAGCTGGAAAAAGAATTGATCTGAATAGGTTACCAACTTCAGAGGGAAGTGATAATATTTTTGGCAAGGAGGACGTTGATGGTGGTTGTTACTCTAGACTTGAAATTAATCTTTAATGTAGTGCTTGCCATCATGTACATTACTTTTTATTGGAGAGACTAACGTGAGTTCCATTAACTAAAGCAAAAACAAGACCTTTCAGAGTTCATAAAAACTCTTGATAGTTCCTTGTGTATTCCTGGCTTTCCTTTCTCCCCTCCCAGTAATTACACAATCCTAAAACATGCTATGTTTTATGGGAAGGTTGCTCAGCCAAAGTTATTTTCTACAACTTTAACTGTGTATGCTTTAAAAATATGTTACTTTGACAGTAGTGGTGTGGGAAGGAGACTGAAAATGTATGATGAATAAAATATTTCACAAACCTCAACTGAAATATAAAATCACTGTATCTGCACATCGGAGATTTCTAGACTCATTTTTAATCTTGGTGCATACTTACCTCTCTCGTTAACTATTCAGTTACTTATTAAAGTCATATAACTGGACTCTCCAGCCTTCTACTGTACTAGATAGCAAAGACTATTTATAATCTAATGATTATTTTCCAACTCTACCTTTAATTTTTCTCTGTCACCTATAAAATAGATTTTGTGAGACCTTAGGGATTATTCAGGTAACAGCTTTCTTCTGCAAATCTGGAAACCGAGACCCAAGGTAAAAAAGTGATATGTGGGAATACCCATTCAAAATGGGTTGGCACATTTAAATGTGGACTTGACTAGTGATCTGAGAATGTGTGAAGCAGCATTCACGGAGTACAAGCCTCACCCAGAGAGACACAGCCTTTGCCTAGGCAGAAAGTTCTCTCTCCAGAATTTGTCATCTGTCTTCTGTTTATGATCCTTGGGAGCCTGAAGAATGCTAGGTGTTTTTATTAAAGATATTTCTCTTCCAGAATCTAGCAAGCTTTAGCAACCTGTATATATGATAATGCACAAAATATTTAAATTAATGTAGTACATTGTTCTTTGGGGGGGGATTTTTCTGGTTTTATTTTATTTTTTATTTTAATTCCACTATAGTTAACATACAGTGTTATATTAGTTTCAGGGATTTTTTTCTGGGGATGCAGAAATGGTTCAATGTTCTCAGTCAACATGATGCAACACGTTACCAAATTGAAGGATAAAAATCGTAAGATCATTTCAGTATTCAGAAGAACCATTTGAAAAATTTGAACATCTGATTTAATGATAAAAACTTTCAACAAAGTGGGTATGAGGGGATATACTTCAACATAGTGAAGGCCATACGTATATAGAAAAAACCCACAAGTAACGTCCTAGTCTGTGGTGAAAGACAATGCTTTTCACCTAAGATCAGGAACGAGACAAGGAAGTCCACTTGCCCCACTTTATTCGCCATAATACTGGAAGTCCCAGCTGTAGGAATCTTCTTCCATGTGGCCTCTGCTTTCCCTTTAGTTGTGGAGTTTGTTCTGTCAGTCTTCAGGTCGACTTCTGGGGTACTTAGGATGATTTGATAGTTATCTAGTTCTCCCCCGTAGTACATCGTTCTTAAATTTGAAGGTGACAAGTTTCTGGAGGAAAAAGATAGGAAGGTTATATAGTTAGGCAGTATAGAAGAGTGGTTTTCACGCTTTCTGGTCTCAGAACCTCTACATTTTAAAGAACTATCAAGGATGCCAAAGTGTTTTTGTATATGTGTACTATAGAGAGAGAGATTTACTGTGTTAGAAATTAAAGCTGGGAGTTTATAAAATATATAAACATTTATATAAACATTTATATTATAAAATATATAACATTTTCAAGGAAAATTATCATATCTACTTTGTCTATACATTATAATAGAAATTAGTAATGCTTTCAACAGATTTTTTTTTTTTTTAAGATTTTTATTTATTAGAGAGAGAGACAGAGACAGAGAGCGCGCACGAGCAGGGGCAAGGGCAGAGGTAGAGAAGCAGACTCCCTGCTGAGCTGGAGCCTGACTTGGGGCTCAGTCTCCTGACCCTGTGATCATGACCTGAGTCAGAATCAAGAGTTGGCCACTCTACTGACTGAGCCACCAAGGCGCCCCTCAGTAGATTATTTCTTGAGAAGTGCTTAGTAGAATCAATTTGATGCCTCTAATCACTTCATCTAAATAAAAAGCAAAATTATTTTTAATGTTGACTTTTCGTTCAAAGTCAAGACCTGTGCATGTTATAATAATGTGTTTATTTTTGAAACTAACACATTAATTAAATTTTAGTTTACATGTTACTATATATTGAACTCCAGAATTTCATCTGTTTTTGAAAAAAAATTTGTTTACACATGCTTTTTGTTTTTTGTAATTAACATAGAGCATGCAAAATGGGAGGTGAGGAGAAGGATGTGGTTACTTGTAGGTAAGTTTGAGGTGTCAGTGAACATCAGGTACTCAAGGAACAGATAAATTGAGATTGTAGATGGAGTAGACATAGGGAATTAGAATAAGTTATACACAAGTGTGATAGTTGGAGCCATGAGAAAGAATGAGATTGAGGGAAAGGAGGTAAATGGACAGGACCTTGGAAAATACCTACATTTGGGGGTGTATCAGAGGGAGGAACACTGGGATTTGAGTATACTGGAAGCTGAGGAGGAGTCAGTGTTTGGTGTTGCTGAGGATTGTGGTGTTACAGTGTGGATGGAGAAAAATCCATTGGATTTATTGGCAAATGAGGTTTAATTTTTATGAGAGATCGTGATGAGGGCTCATGCATCAGATTTTCACATATTAAGTACAGAGTTCCTGGAGTGGTTAAAGCCACAGGTAGACGGATTTTAGAGACATTTGACATGTGAGACCTGATGTGATAGCATGGTAAGAGCAGAACTGAGAAATGGGAATAAGTCAGATATTTAAGATGTAGGCATAAGGTTAAAACAATAACATAGAAGCATGGAAGATGAGAAGATATTGGTTGACTGAGTTTCTGTTGTCTATAGGTCTAATGCTCTTTCCCTCTAAGCAACCCTTCTAGTTAGTGTAAACTTTGGTTTAACTTTGAATATATTAAACTCATCATTTCTGTTGGTGGTTTAGGATACTAAGATAATGTCAGGAAATGCATTTGAGCATGCAAAAGAACCTGGCAGATAATCCATCTCTTTTGGCAACACATTTCGTGTTTTGCCCCATAAAATGCACTCTGAGGTATAATCAGTTGCCTTGCTCATTGTCCATGACCAGCAGCAGTGGTCTTGGATTCAGCTGGATATTTGCACTCTCAACACCTGATAGGCCATACCTGGCACTCTCTCTGTCCCCTTTGTTGAAAGATAGGGAATAGAAGACCCAGCACGTCAGCATCAGGTGTGTTGTTCCCAAATAATATCGCAGGCTGGTGGAAAGATGACATGTGGTGGGAGCAGGTGCCCTGACTGAGCTGCATCTTCTGTAATAGCACGCGGGCATTGCATCCAGGACTCGGCAGAGAACACGCCACTTACAACTCCTGTCCCCACTGGGAGGCGGCCTTATCTACACTTCCTACCGGACATGTGTAGCCCTACTCAGTGTCTGCTCAGTCCAGATGTAGCTCACCGCTGGGGGTCAAGTTTACCCCACAAAATGTTGCTTAGAAACAGCTGGTGTCCCACCTTTACCAGGTTTCCAGGGAAACAGTACCAGAAGGTTCACCAGAGGCCATGCTTTTCCTGCCTGAGAAAAGGTTTTGTTAACCCTTTACTCACACTAAGTTATTGACAAAATCTATGGAAAACTTGCCTATCACTAGCTGTAGGATCTAGGCAGTGGACTGTATTAGAGGCACTGTTCATTTTCATTACCTTTCATGACATCTGGGTCTAGACGAAATTGTTTTTACATGCCAGCAGATGGCTCCAGTAATTGTATTGTGCTGATAGGTTCTTTTTTTCTTTTCTTTTCTTTTTTTTAAGATTTTATTTATTTATTTGACAGAGAAAGACAGCGAGAGAGGGAACACAAGCAGGGGGAGTGGGAGAGGGAGAAGCAGGCTTCCCGCTGAGCAGGGAGCCCGATGCGGGGCTCGATCCCAGGACCCCGGGATCATGACCTGAGCCGAAGGCAGACGCTTAACGACTGAGCCACCCAGGCACCCCTAAAGGCAGAGGTTTAACTGACTGAGCCACCCAGGCACCCCTGACAGTTTCAACACGTTTAGTAAGTAAAAAAATCTTCCCTATGTTAGGTTTGCTTGCTCCAGTTCTTTAAGAGCATAGAAGTGTGACACAGACTAGGGAGCAGAAATTAATAGCAAACTGGGTTAGGTAAAAATAAGGCAGTCTGTGAGTAGAGGTCTCTTTCTAAACCACCAATATGCCAAAGCATATTAAAGAGAAGACAGCGTACCTACTTCAGAGCCGTTTTTATTCACCTGTCCTTAAAGTTGATTTCCATTTGCTATTCCTCCAAATGGATTGACTTTGATACTGTCTTCCACAGTTTAAAATTATAAGATTATGTTTGTTTATCACAAAGTCATTTAGTTAAGGTGACTTTTCAGGAATGCTTTATGGAAACCTGCAAATTTAATTCCTCTTATTTCTGAGCAAAAGTGGACTAAAATATGCATTTTTTCTGATGTCTGGTCCTAAATATATATATGTCCAGTGCTCAGAATACAGTTATGTTTTCTCAGAAGTCTAATAGTTTAGATATATTACTGGATTATCCATTTAAAAAACATTTTAGTCTTGAATATATGTAAAGTGGTATACTACTCAGTAGGGATCCAGTAGTGAAAAAGAGAAAGACAGTTCATGGCCTTACAGATTTAAATTCAGTATTTTATGTTGAAATTAGGTATCAAAGGGGCTACTTTAAAAAGATAATTTTTCAAAGTTCGAATAATTGATAATTGTGACTATTTTTTTCTATATATTTGATATATATGCACATATGAAATATTTTAGTAGTTTTTGTTTGATTTGAAAATTGGTCAACTCTTGATTATCCAGGATATAGGGAGCCTTATCAAATTTCTACATTTGCTTGGTACATTCTGATGTTGATGTTAATTTGAGCAGAACATGGTTAGGAACATAGTAGTACAGCTAGAAATACTAGTCACAAAAGCAAATACAGTTAACATATCTCTATAGCATTTGTAAATGCTTTTTTTTTAATTTTATTTTATTATGTTATGTTAGTCACCCTACAATACATCATTAGTTTTTGATGTAGTAAGTGCTTTTTAAATTAGTTTCATTTGGTAACGCTGACTGGCCTTATATGTAGGCATTTTAAAAATTCTCATTCTACTGAAAAGGAAATTCAGACTGGAAATAAGTGATAAACACAAGATTATTTAGGAAATATATATGGTAGAGCAGAATTTAGGTTGATGAAATTTTACTGTGTGTTTTTTTTCTACGAAATCACCAAATAAATGGTGTTTGAGTTACTCATCTCTCTGATAACTGTCATAAATGATTGGCTTTAACCATGAAAAATACAGTAAAATTGTTCACTAAAGAAATACCTTAAGTGGTATCTTATTTTCCAAATAGTGCAGTGCTCTAGTATATTTGTATTTTATTCCAAACCCCGCTAATCCTAATCATTACACAAAAAAATTTTTTATTTTGATGTAAAAAGTTAATGCTGGTGTGTTTTCACATTTCTCCAGTATATCTTTTGGGTACAAATGAAAATCATTGATATCACTTATAATTTTTAAAAAAATAAAATTAAGTAAACATTAGATGAAAAGTTTAAGGGGGCCAGATGTGTTGTTGAGACTTAAATACTGTGTTGAAGGAATATAGAGTAGCCCTGTCTGATCTAAGCTCTGTTGATAAATAGCTGTCATAGGTTGTAAAGGCACTGATTGATTATTGATCTGGAACAGTTTTCAGTATTGAATGAATTGGCTTATTTGGCTGCTGTAGTGCAACCTCTTTCAATCTGGTTTTTAACCAGTTCTTGATACCTGCTGCTTCTGTGACTGTTAGGCTTGAATTTTTGTTTTACCTCACATACGTGCTTTTCTCTGGCTTTCCATAGTGCTCATTGTAATAAAACTTGCTACAACTGGGTGGCAGTGTTGATTTCAGAGAAACTTCAGAAAAATGCTATGTTGGTTTATGTTCAAAGAGAGTCATTTGAACAAGAACTCAAATTTGGAAGTCTGTGTTTAGCGAAATAGTAAGACGTGTTTGGTGAGATGATAATGAAAAATCAAATCTACTAAGTCATCTAACTCATCTTTGTAGCCAATCTAATTTAACTTGGTTTTATGATTTTTTTCAGTGTTTAATTCAGTGAATGAAAATGTTACATTTATTAGCTTAAGGAATACAGTAAAATTTAAAAAATCAGTCCCTAACATTTATTAAATTTAAGAATAACTTATGGTAGTTGTGTTAGTAGTAAAATAGAATGGAATATTTTTTTAGCAAATATGTAAATAGATGACAGCTATGTAAGAAAACTTACAACACGTCTCACCTTTTTTGCCTTTTTAAGACAGCATGCATTAACTTTTTTATTTGGTAACCAAAAAAATTTGACTTGAATCACTTTTCTTCTGTCTTTTATTTTATCAGTTATAATTTTAGAAATCTTTAAAAAAAAATTTCTCCAATAAGTCCTTTTCTTCATTTATCTCTGGTTCTCAAATGGAAATGCTGTGTCTGTTGTTTTCACACTTACTCCTCAGGTGTTTATGGTCTTGTCAGTACAACACATCATAGCAGCATGTTCTGACTCACGGATAGGACACTGCACTAAGGGCTCCATGAAAGACTGTGCATTATTTCATGACACTGGCAATCAGAAATTTCTCTTTAATCAGATGTGAACAACAAATTATTCAACTTTTCCTCAAAAATAATACAGTATTAGAAATGAGTGGTTAATTTAAGTAAATTGTTTAACTGTGAAAACCTCCAGGTAAAGAAGAAAATATTTTATCCTTTAGTTTGTTTAGTTATAATTTATAATGTGAAAAAGATAGGGGCGCCTGGGTGGCTCAGTCGTTAAGCGTCTGCCTTCGGCTCAGGTCATGATCCCAGGGTCCCGGGATCGAGCCCCGCATCGGGCTCCCTGCTCTGCGGGAAACCTGCTTCTCCCTCTCCCACTCCCCCTGCTTGTGTTCCCTCTCTCGCTGTGTCTCTCTGTCAAATAAATAAAATAAGTTAAATAAATAAGTAATCTTTAAAAAAAAAAGAAAATTGACAATAAATTATATCATACTGGCCTTGATTGGTTAGAACATGTTAACCATCTCATAAAATTTGCCTTCAACCTACCTTAGCTCAGTGAAGTTGTAGGATACAAAATCAATATACAAAAATCTTGTTTTTCTATATACTAATAATTATCAGAAAGATAAATTAAGAAAACAGTTTTATTTACATTTCCATAAAAAAAATAAATACCTTGGAATAAGTTTAATTGAGGTGGTGGAAGGATCTGAACAGTGAAAACTATAAGACATTAATGAAAGAAATTAAAGAAGACAGAAATAAGTGGAAAGATATTCCTTGTTCATGGGTTAGAAGAATTGTTATAATGTCCATATTACCCAGAATAGTCTACAGATACAATGCAATCACTATCAAAATTCCAGTGGCATTTTTTACAGAAAGAGAACAATAATCCTGCAATTTGTATGGAACCACAAAAGACCCCAAATAGCCAAAACAATTTTGAGAAAGAAAAAGCTGGAGGCATCACACTCCCTGATTCAAACTATATTACAAAGCTCTATCAAAACAATGTGATTTTGGCATAAAAACAGACACGTAGGTCAGTGGAACAGAATAGATGGCCCAGAAATAAACCTACACACAAATGGTCAGTTTATTTATAGCAGAGGAGCCAAGAATATGCAGTTTCTTCAACAAATGGTGCTGGGAAAACTGGATATCCACATGTAGAAGAATGAAACTGGACCACTATTTTACACCATAAACAAAAATTAACTCAAAATGGAATAAAGACTTTAAGATCTGAAACCACAAAACTCCCAGGGGAAAACTTGGCAATAAGCCCCTGACATCTGTCTTGGCAATGATTTTTGGATCTATGACACCAAAAGCAGGGGCAACAAAAGCACAGAATAATTAAGTGGGAGTACATCAAACTAAAAAGCTTCTGCACAGCAAAGGAAACCATCAACAAAATGAAAAGACAGCCTACTGAATGGGAGAATATATTTGCAAATTATGTATCTGATAAGGGGTTAGTCTCCAAAGTATATAAAGAACTCAACTTAATAGCAACAAAACAAACAATATGATTATGAAATGGACAGAAGATCTGAATAGACATTTTTCCAAAGAAGACATACAGATGGCCAGTAGGTATATGAAAAGATGTTCAGCATCACTAATTGTCAGGGAAATGCAAATCAAAAAACCGCAGTGAGATATCCCCTCATACCTGTCAGAATGGCTATTATCAAAAAGATAAGAAATAAATGTTGGCAATGATGTGGAGAAAAAGGAAACCTTTGTGCACTGTTGGTGGGAATATAAATGGTGCAGCCACTATGAAAAGTAGTATGGAGGTTCTTCAAAAAATTAAAAATATAACTACCATATGATCAAGCAATTCTGCTTCTGGCTGTTTATCCAAAGAAAACAAAACCACTGACTCAAAAAGATACGTGGACCCCCATGTTCATTGCAACATTATTTACAACAGCCAAGATATGGAAACAACCTAAGTGTCCATTGATGGATGAATGGATAAAGAAAACGTGATACATACAGACAATGAAATATTGCCAAGCCATAAAAAAGAATGAAATCTTGCTGTTGTAACAAAATGGATGGACCTGAGAGCATTATGCTTACTGAGATAAGTCAGAGAAAGACCAAAAAAAAAAAAAAAAACCAAAAACTAAACCCCCCCCCAAAAAAAAACCAGAAAACCCCAAACCTCAAGTTTATAGATACAGAAAACAGATTGTTGGTTGCCAGAGTCAGGGATGGATGAAACGGGTGTATGTCCAAACTTCCAGTTGTAAAATAAATAGCCATGGGGATATGATGTACTGTTTGGCAACTATCATTAATACTGTGTTGTGTATTTGGAAGTTTTAAGAGAGTGGATCTTAGAAGTTCTGATCACAGGAAAAAAACTTTTTTGCAACTGTGTATGGTGACGGATGTTAACTAGACTTACTGTGGTGATCATTTCCCAATATATATAAATATCCTTATGTTGTACACCTGAAAATAATACAGTGTTACATGTCAAACCTCAATACAAAAAAAAATTTTTTTTCTCAGCCTGCCTAGCCCACTTGTGGGCACACAGCAGCTTTGGGATCATGCTCGTTGGCCTCTGGCCTCTTCTACCTGAGGAGCTGGGAGCATGGCAGTTTACTTATACCCCTGAGCGTCCATTCCCTTATATAAAAATTTGGGAACATGGCATCAACTGATTTTTCTGTCAAATCAAGGAGAATGCATTAATGAAAGTACCTGGCAGTAATTAAGCACTTTTTAAAAAAATGAGTATAATTTGATGAATATTTGTGTTTCCTAAATACAGCAGTGGAAGGAGAAAGGAGACTGTTGAGAACAGAACGAACAAGGGGAATTAGAGCAACGGTGGATGGATTGATGTAGCCTTCCGAGGATTCTCCTAGTACCATAATTTATTATATCATGGATCTAACTTTTAAAATAATGTATGTTGAATTACTGATTCTCTCTCTCTCTCTCTTTAGGATACTTACGGAGAGCGACCATGGAAAAGTCCTGGATGCTGTGGAACTTTGTTGAAAGATGGCTAATAGCCTTGGCTTCATGGTCTTGGGCTCTTTGCCGTATTTCTCTTTTACCTTTAATAGTGACTTTTCATCTGTATGGAGGCATTATCTTACTTTTGTTAATATTCGTATCAATAGCAGGTATTCTATATAAATTCCAGGATGTATTGCTTTATTTTCCAGAACAGCCATCTTCTTCACGTCTTTATGTTCCCATGCCCACTGGTATTCCACACGAAAACATTTTCATCAGAACCAAAGATGGAGTGCGTCTAAATCTTATTTTGATAAGATACACTGGAGACAATTCGCCCTATTCCCCAACTATAATTTATTTTCATGGGAATGCAGGCAACATAGGTCACAGGTTACCGAATGCATTGCTTATGTTGGTTAACCTCAAAGTTAATCTTTTGCTTGTTGATTATCGAGGATATGGGAAAAGCGAAGGAGAAGCCAGTGAAGAAGGACTCTACTTAGACTCTGAAGCTGTGCTAGACTATGTGATGACTAGACCTGACCTTGACAAGACAAAAATTTTCCTTTTTGGCCGTTCCTTGGGAGGAGCAGTGGCTATTCACTTGGCCTCTGAAAATTCACACAGGATTTCAGCCATTATGGTGGAGAATACATTTCTAAGCATACCGCATATGGCCAGCACTTTATTTTCCTTCTTTCCGATGCGTTACCTTCCTTTATGGTGCTACAAAAATAAATTCTTGTCCTACAGAAAAATCTCTCAGTGCAGAATGCCTTCTCTTTTCATCTCCGGACTCTCTGACCAGTTAATTCCGCCAGTGATGATGAAGCAGCTCTACGAGCTCTCCCCGTCCCGGACTAAGAGATTGGCCGTCTTCCCTGACGGGACTCACAATGACACGTGGCAATGCCAGGACTACTTCCCCGCCCTCGAGCAGTTCATCAGAGAGGTCCTCAAAAGTCGTTCTCCGGGAGAAATGGCCAAAACTTCCTCTAACGTAACAATTATCTAACGTTGCTCCTTTTGACTCATGCACTGTATTTTAATTTGTGCAGAATGATAAAGAATGTTCCTTTCTAGAAATGTGTTATGTCTGTACCTGTCTGAAGAGTGACATTAAACTTTGAAAGGACTTCAGTGCTCCTTTGAGATGATCCAAATAGTTTTTTACATTTGAAGAACTAGAATTCTTGGGATTCTTTCATACATTTTCATCCAGCCTTTCAATGTGGTTATGTATCCATACCTTCAGTTCAATATGCCGGTGTAATAGCATATTGTATTCAAAAGTTTCTTGTGGCCTAAGTGGTGTGCCCTGTGTGATCTTGGGTTAATGGCGGGGTGTGGAAGGAGATTTGTAAACGAGAAACCTTTGAGTATTCTGCCTTTAGTAAATACCGGGACAATCATGGTAAGCAAACGTAGTCTGTAACTGCATTCTTCCCCTTAACAGTTAAAATGAAATGCATGATGGTATTTTATTCCTTGAATTATGCAATGCAATGTTTTTAATGTAAATACTACTGGTCATATACCGATGTATATGGTAACCTGGGTCATATCTATTTTTATGTAAACTCTATTTTGTTCTTGGCAAGAAGTGAAATTGAGGCCTGTGTGCAGGTTGCCACTGACTTCTGCTCTGGTGAATGCTGAGATCCAGCTTTTTCTTACAAATAAATGGGACCCCACTTTTCCAATATAAATGTACCGTGTTTTGTTAGGTACAGTCTGGATCATGGCATGTAAAAATAGAAATTTAGAATTTTACTGCAGCTTTGATGTGCATATTTGAACTTTTTAACATTTGTAATTTTGGTGGCAAAGAGAATTTTAGCTTCTGTCAGTTTTGTATGTCTACAGCTGAACCACTAATAGCAGTCATAATGACAATTAGAACTTGTTTAAGAATTAAATTAGCAAGTCTTATCATTACATGATTGTACATACGATTTTAGAGAAAGTCCCACATTTGATTTTTAAGTCCAATATCTAGGTATATCTAGCCCACTAAAGTCAAGATCTCATTTATTGGACTTTCTGAAAATAAAAGTTACAAAAACAAAAGCAAAAAAGCTGTTCTTTGGTTTAATGTTTCAGTTGTTAATGATAGTATCGAAAGACAGTTTCAGGAAGTCTTATTTATTTTTCTCCTACATGTAGGAATGTGGGAGTGAAGGAACTCTAGAGCTTTTTCTTACAGAACCTATTACCACATTTAACAGTTAAGTGGCTATAAGTAAGAAGTAGCATTTAGACATATAGAAGAGTAAGAAAAATCTTACTTAAAAAAAAAAGAGCCCCTTAAAACTTGCAGGATTTACCTTAAAAAATATAAGCTATGAGGTATAATTGTGGTAAGTTGTTTCAGGTCATCCTCAAAAATTAGGTGTAATTGAGCTCTCTACATTATGTGAGCTTTAACGTACCATATTTTGAATATTTTAGCTATATCTATTGGCTTTTGCAAGCAGCTAGAGCAGAGAAATAATGGGTCAATGTTCTTGACCTTAATTTTGAAAATCTTTCCATGGAGATAGGGCTAGAAATACTTTTGCCAAATAACATTCTTACTCACTTTATGTCAGTATTTAGAAGAAAATACATTCTAGCAAGTATGATTTCTAAAGGACACTGTTTTTCTATAAATTGTTAGAAAGTCATGCTTTTTTAAAAAAAGTTGGTAATACATATCGTGGAAGGAGTATTTTTATGTATAAATTCACCACTATTAAAAGATACTTTCCATCTTGTCAATCATTGCTATGTAGAATGACTATCCTAAATAGTAATGTATTAAAAAGAAAAGAGTTAATACAACAAATGTAGTGCCCTTAGACATGAGCTCACTTGGCACACCGTAGACTTTTATCATTCTTTAAAGTTTACAGAGTACCTTCATGTGTTTTCATGTGATTATTTAGTCTACTGCTTGTGGAGGGGTTTATCAACTTTAGTTGTAAATAGTATGCTGATGAAGTATAAAAGCTTTTTCTTCATCGGTGTTTTGTTCTTATGCTGCCTTTTTTTTTTTTTTTTTAGGGTTTATAAAGTTTTGTTTTTGTTTTTGTTTTCCCTAAAGCCAGGATTTCAAAAGTTGTAAAGTACTTGTGTCCATCCCTACCTTCATTCCCTTCGGATTAAGAGGCATTTCTTCCTGCATCAGAGGGAGGAGGCTGTGTTTAGGGTTGTAGCTCATCTTTCTTTCCTGGCTTCTATATTTGAGATTTCCTTAGATGGGAAGAGGATAGAAAACAAATTCTTGTTAACTGTGATCCATGAAGCGCATGGCATCATTTTTTCAAACAATGTCTAACTTTGTGGCCCAAACAATTGGTCTTAATAAAACGTGAATTCTTCATGGGTCACTCCTTCATTTGGACACATGTCTTAGTGGGAATAGAAGTGTTTCTGTCTTATGTATTAATTTCTGATGCATTTTGCAAGAGCAGCTGTTAAGAGATTATGAATGATTTTTAAGTTTTTAAGTTACTGTAAATTTGGAAATCCTAGAATGATTTTAAGTATGGCAAGATACAGTTTATTTAGATCAAAATCCATTATTTTAAAAGGGATTATTGGGGGAGGTGGCAAAAAGAATACTAAAAAGGATATTGCAAAATAGGAGAAACAATTTTTGACAGATGAAAGATAAAAGATACTAAATGAATAGAAATAGCTGGAAAGGGAATGTGACCTGGTTCTTGAATGTAGATCCAGGAAATGATTAACTGAAGAGATTGGCAAAAAGGATACCTAATAGTGCAAAACAATACATTTGTATGCAAGGTGTCTCTAACCAAGAAAGTGACTAGAGCACCTGACATGGCAAATACATTGACTGTAGAATTGATACTTTTATTGAAGTGGTATTTTCAATTTTGTTACTGGGCAGCTTAAGCTTATTTTTTCATGATGAGCTGTAGACACTTGGTAATTACTCAAGTCCCAGCTTTGGTAATATGTCAGTTACATTCTCTTGTTGAGAATTCGTACCACCTGATGCTTTTATATTCATTTCTTATTTTTGTAAGATTTAGTTTGAGGTAGGAGTAGGTTTGTTTGGTCAAATGACAGAATGAAGGCCATGTTGAATTTTATATAAATTTTCTCGCAGTCTCAGTTTAAGGGCAGTTTTTATTACTGAGTCCCTTTCTTCCTTAAGGTTGGATAAAAATAAGGTTAACTTTTACATAGGATGTCACAGAAGTCGCTTCTAAAATCGGTCATGATTGAGATACCCTGAACTCTTGCACTGACCTCCCCCCTCTCCGTTTTTTCCTATTATGTTTGACAACAATAATGAAGAGGAAAAAAAAAAAAAACAAAACTGTGAGAAATATTCGTTATAATGCTTTCGGATTAATCCACTTAAATTTATGTATTTTCATATCACTCAGGTAAAGTTGGAAATGACAGAGCACAGACATCTATTTTTTAAATCAGTAGGGTAGAAAATGAAAAGCACTTCTGTTTATTTATATTACCATATATGCACATCATCTTAGCCAATCAGAAATAATATATTCATTTGTATAGCAAAATAAATGCATTCATCCTAGTTATAGTAAACACGTTTTTGCCAAATGGCACAAATATACCTCCATTTATATTTTGTATCTAAAAGTGTAGTTTAAAAATAGGACTACGTATAAGAGACACTTTTTACAAAAAGTGCCATATACACATAATGTCACAGGGATGAGTGTGTGGTGTTCAACATAATTTATAACAGTTTCTGTCAGTACAGTGAATACTGAAAAGTCAAGTTGTTTCCAACATATTCAAGTATATCCAGGATAAAATAAGTTAACCCAGTTTCATGTAAATCATATTTTTGTTATTTGCCATATTTTATTTGAAGAAGTGATACAATTTTATAACTCAGATTTGAATGTTAGCGTACACAATGTGCTAGCCATGGCAAGCAAACATTTACATTTGGTTTTTTTTTACAATAAATTTCTTTTAGAATATACTTTCTATTTTTCTGTACTGACATATGCAATAAATTGATACATTAAAGGTTTGATTAATGTCTTAAGATAGTTTGTATTCAGTCTTTTTTTCCCCAGTTTTCTATTAACCTAAATTATATGGTAGGACATTAAGGTTTCCTTAAGGGTTAAATAAAATTTCTGAATTCATATGGAAATTAGTGAATTTTTCTTGTTGTAATGGTATGGATGATAAGTACAAGTTAGATTTATATTCTCTTCCTTCATATCCTCCCACAGACATTTAATTTAGGCTAATAGTAAATATTTTCTTTTTTTTTTAAAGGTAAATTTTTTGGAAAGATTTTATTTATTTATTTGACAGAGAGTCAGAGAGAGCGAGCCCAAGCAAGGGGGAGCAGCAGGCAGAGGGAGAAGCAGGCTCCCCACTGAGCAGGGAGCCCAACGTGGGGCTCAATCCCAGGACCCTCAGATCATGACCTGAGCCAAAAGCAGATGCTTAACCAGCTGAGCCACCCAGGCGCCCTGTAAATATTTTCTATATATGAACCTATTCATTCACATGAATGAATAAGGCCCCAAAGCATTTGATTAGTTAAAGGAATCTAGGAATGAGTACATTTTAACTGTTCATAGGCCTGTTGCCTTCAGATTTCATAAAGTGCCTTCTCACAAAATTCTGGTCTTTTTTCCCTCCCATTACTGTGGAGTTGATAGTTTAGAATGATTTAAAATGGCCTGATACTCATTCAGTCTTTAAGAGTCTGTAGCTTGCTTTCCCTGACAAGAAACTCACATGCTTCAATAGTGTCAGAACCAGTTGGATGATAGGAAATGTATGACAAACCGTTTTAAATGGCTCCCTGCAAGTGGAGATGAAGAGTTCACTTATTGGAGACCACCCTTCCACTGGTGGATGTGGGAGGTGAGATCTCCCATGTACTTTCCTCAAAGACCGCCAACCTGAATCCCAAGAGAAAGTAGTTTTTTAGACTACTAGTTCTTGTTTTCAAAAAAGATTTTTTCACATTCCTATTTCACTCTCCAACTCTTGCTTTACATTCTGTTACATGCTAAAAGTCATGAACAGGTGGGTCTGGTTAGAGAATATAAGTTACCTTATCAAAGAAAAGGGAGGGAAAGACATTTTCTGAATACCTGCAAGTGTAATACCCAAGTGTAGAGCGTGTTAATGATCATTGAACCCCCACAACAGACCTTTGAGTAATCTGCTCAAGAGTAATTTACTCGTTAGGAACACTTCCAAAAAATTGGCTATAGATCAAAAATTACACAACAAACCACATTTCCCCAAAGCATTTAAATGTGTTTCTGTGGAAGATCTAGAAGTTAACCTGGTAAGATTTATTCTCTTTGTTCAGCCCTTGATAGATAAGCAAAGCTCAAAAAATATGGGCATCCATCTTCCTCCTGTTGTGCAACAGATACTTTTGAAATATATCTTACTGTTTATTTCCCCAGCCTTACCCTACTAGTCCCTGACATTATTTTATAATAGCTAGCACTTTTACTGAATGATTATGACATACCAAGTATTGTTCTGACTCCTTTTTGACATTTATTCTTGATGACTAAATAGTGAACTGGTTTCTTTCTTTCTTTCTTTCTTTTTGCTCAGCATCAGGGAAATCCAAATCAAAACCTCAATGAAATACCACCTCACACCAGTCAAAATGGCTAAAATTAACAAGTCAGTGAACTGGTTTCTAACTTCACTGAGCTTCACTCCTTGATCTTTGTCCTGTTCTAACTTGCCAAAACAACGCCACACCTTTCTCCACCAAAGGGCAGTTATGACTGCATTTCTCATTAGATCAAAGTCAGAAAAAAGTCAGACTTCTGGGTCTATAGGGTCCTTCACAAGGTAAACTTAACCGTATGCTTCTAAAAGGTGGCTACTCCCTCTCTTTCCTGAATCAAACTCATTTCTCTTCTGTGCATTTACTTACGCACCGTGCTTTAACCTCTAGATCGAATGCCCTTTCACCTCGCTAGGCTCCCACACCCATAACCCAAACTCAGAGTGGCTCTAGGAATAGTTTCTCCCCTTTCTGAAGATCTGTGGCACTCACTAACTTTTGTAGTTTGGTACTCGATTATATTCAATTCAGTTCTTTGTTGCACACTGTCTTAATTTCCCTTTTGTATGTCTTGGCTTTGTGAAATAAACCAAGATGTGGCAGGTTGCCATGTGATTTCTTTGTGTCTGACATAGCACCTAGCACAGTGCTAAGCACCTTGTAGTGCTAAGCACCTTGTAGTGCTAAGCGTGTTTTCTGTGTGGCGTGTGCTCGCTGAAGTTAGTCCACACTTTTCCTTCTCTAAGAACGAAGATGCACAAAGGCGATTAATGTAATATTTTATATTTCTTAAAGACTTAGATCTAGAATAGCAACAGAACCTGTAAGCAAAGGTAAACACACACACACACACACACCTTAGCCAGTGATTAAAGTAGAAACATCAGAAGTTGCCTGTGTGATTAAATCACCCTTCAGAGGTGGGCAGGGGGAGCAATAATTATGCAGGACATATGCCCCGTGCAGGATCTAACTTAAGCTGAGCACAGGAAAGAGACAAAGGTGAAAACACACTTAAAAAGAGACAACACAGAGGGAGGGTATGGAACAGAGATCATATGTGATCACTAAGCCTGGCAGGAACTAGTGGATCTGGTATAGGGTAAGAAAGAAGGACCACAGAGTCAGCAGGCACACTAGTGGAAGGCCACAGGATCCCTTGTCATGGGATTTCTCCTCTGGGTGATGGTTTATGTCCGAGTTCTATTACCTTCCGTTATATTTTTAATCATGTACCTGTAATTCCCTTTTTAAAAAGTTATCATGATTCCTATTATTTTTTTTAAACCAATAAGATATGCACTTAATGTGGCATATTGTTTGGGTTTTTGGTTTTTCATTTTTCGTTTTTTGTGGGTTTTTTTTTTGTGGCCTTTATTCCCAGGACATATTCCTTGATGTTTAATGAGTTCAAGGCTCCTCTATAGTGATGATGCAGGCCTCTAAACACAAGACAGACTGGGTTAGGGGAAAGCACAGGGGCAAGTTCAAAATCTCTGGAGACAGTTGGTAAACAATTGTAGTTCTCACTCAAAAGCAGACCTCAAGTTGAATGACCATTGATATAGTATTGCTAAAATCCCTTCCAGTCTTTTACTATATTTCACCATTATCTGTTACTTGGGCATCTAGCATTTTCATCATCAACATTGTGAATTACAGACACACAAACATCAAGTATACAGTGTCATCCAGTAGACTAAACTTTGTGAATATGGGCACAGTTCTCATCTCTCCTCATTGCCTTGGACACATAGCTGGAACTCAGTAAATATCAGATGAATGAAAAATATCCCTTGG